ATGACTTGCACTCTGTGGTAGAATACTTGTCTAGAGAAAAACGTGCACCCAGTGCAATTCTTGGACACAGTAAAGGTACGTTGGATTGTTTTGCACGATCGTTGTGTGAGATTTTAAATAGACGACAAAATGCTATTGATGAATGTTTCGAAAGAGTAATTTCGTATTGTGTACCAAAGGTATTGCTGAAAATTGCTACTACAGGAGGTGATGATGTGCTCCTGTATGCTTCTACGTATCATGACATTTGTACAGTTGTCAATGTTTCTGGACGTTATGATCTGAAGAAAGGCATTGAAGAACGCTTGGGGAAAGACTATATGGAAGTAATCAAGAAGGAAGGATTCATTGATGTAAAGAATAAGTCAGGTAATTTGCTAATTCGTATCGCGTAGTGAATTTGCGAAATTTGTTTGTGAGACCAGAAGATGGCATGCATAAATAAACTGATAATCTGAGTGTTTTCAGCTTGTATCCATTTACTTTCAGTAACACACACACACCCTTACATATATTGATATATACACGAAACTGAGTAAGGTGCATGCTGGCGTTTAACACGGTTATGGTATGCCATGTTTGTAGGAGCTGTTAGTTATCGTGTGACCGAGGACAGTTTAATGGATCGTCTAAGCACTGATATGCACAAATCATGCCTTCAGATTGACAAAGAATGCCGGTAAGCAAACTTTAGTTAACTCGGTTCTCATTCTTTTATGTTTCCCTTCATTTTCCGCCTGACCTAGTTTATCGGCGATTCTGTATATACAGGGTGTTGACAATCCATGGAACTGCCGACGAGATCATCCCCGTTGAAGATGCATTAGAGTTTGCCAAGATAATACCTAACCACAAATTACATCTTATAGAAGGCGCTAATCATTCGTACACCTCGCATCAAGCCGAGTTAGCATCGGTTGTCTTGGACTTCATTAAGGCAGCTCTGCAGCAGGATAAGGCTACTTCCAACTAGACACTTTATGCCAATAGGCATATAAATTTTTCTACTAGTCGGGGCTGGGTGGTTTCCTTATCTCGATGTAGTTTGACGCATACATTCTCATGCTTTGCCGCAAGTTTGTGTTTTCGCTACGTTCTGTTACATTAAATACAGAACTAGATGAACACGATGCAAGCCATTGCATCACGATTTGAGTTGTTACCTCAGAATTTGGTATAACCATTGAATTTATACCTCAAACAATGTTAGCAAGTCGCAATGACTAATTATATTAACTAGAATTGGATTTCAGCTCAATACGAGCATACACAAATCGCATGAACTACTGAGGAATCCACAAAATGAGTTAAAAAAAAATCATTACATTTCCCTAAAATCCCGATTGCAGCGACTGCTCGCTTTATATGAAGTAACGGTAGGTGACATATCGCCCTGCAGTCTCACTTGGTCGAATTATCTTCACAACTTGTGCACGCTTAAGCCCATAGTATTTTGCAATTGGATCAGTCGCCTGAATCCGAGGGAGCTGGACAAAAAAATTACAAATACAAGCGAAACAATTAGCCAGCAAATTTCCTGAATTTGCCACGGATATGCAGGCTAAGATGTGTTTGGACAACAAACGTTAAAAAGCCATTAGGATGAGAGAAACAAAGCTTTGTTACTTTGTCATAGTAGTTTGGATGGTATTACGATGCATTGGGCATGACCCGATTCAACCAATAACATAAAACATCCACAAAGGGGAGAAAAAGCAAGCGTTGTCACTTTGTCACAATAGTTTGGATGGTGTTAAGACGCATTAAGCATGACTCCGTAGTTGAGTTGAAATGTTCAACCCAAACAGTTCAATGAATGAAGTGGTAGATTTGTAGTCATGTTAGTGTTATAAATCTAGATTTGAAGTCATGGCATGTCTCACATAGCATATAAATTTCGTAACGCAAGATTAACAATAAAGTGCAGAACTGACCTGTGTTTCCTTAACAGTGTATCTCTCCAGCAAAGTCTTCTTTTCCTCATTCGTAAGCACCCCATGTTCAGGAACTAGAACGTGCTCTTTAAGTTTGAAGCACCTGATGCAACTATAGGTGGAGCCAATATTTTGTATGTGGGGTAAACAAAAATTCTCCTCCCAACCCAACCCTATGCATCCAACCCAACCCTCTAAAGTGTAGGGCCATACCCATTCATCAGACGAACAATACTAGTAAGAGCCTTGATCAGATCATCAGATTAATATTCACTCTTTAGAAGGCATTAGAGCTTAGAATATAAACAAATGAATCAAGTTATTGCATCGGTGATCTGTATGTATAGCCTTCAAAAATCTGATATTTCTGGTACGGTGGTACCTTACATTTCTTATGTAAGGCTTAATAGATTGTCGTGATATTCATGAAATTTCAAGAAACACAGCTTCATACTAACAACAGATATTTTCTTTTGAACAAGTGATATTATCTACACTAAGAGGTGGGGAGTGGGCTAAGCCTGACAATGAACGAGTCATAATAATGTGATTCAAATTCGCCATTAGTCTAAGCTTCATACTAACAACAGATTTAAGTAATGAACCTCACCAGAAAAACCTCCAAGTGGAACTTTCCGGATATCTCACTGATACAGGCCTTTGCAAAGGGCGTCAGACTTTGTTGAGTAACCAAGATTGATCTGAGCACATTCTCCGACTTCAAGCGGTTGGTACAAGTCTTCATTGTCTTGACCAAGGTATTAAATATCGATGATATCGGAAATATCGGTAGTTCAAAAATACGAAAATATCGATAAAAATATCAGGATATTATCGATATCGATAAAAATAATATGGAAACCACGGAAATTGTAAGAAAAACTTAGAAATTTTTATTGAAACTTTGCAAGATGTTTATTTAGTCAATTATCTATTAGTTTATCACAAAAAATTGGAAGGAAATGCATTGCATGATAGATATAACTGATTTAAGTTGATTATATAGCGAGCTGGCAAACATTGTGAGTGTAGAAAATATGTAGTAATTAATTAAAGATGTTTAAACACACCATAATCATTTATATATAATTTTTAATCAATCTAGTTGTACAATTTTCTATTAAATTTTTTTTTTTATTTTTTCTTTTCACATGGTGCAGCACACCATTCCAAAACCTTTATTTTTTTATTATTATTTCTTCTTCTTCTTCTTTTGTTCTTTTTGGCAAACATTTTTTCTTCTTGTTTTCAGATGGTGCCAACGCACCACTTCTTTTTCTTCTTCTTTTCAGATGGTGCGCCAACGCAACAATTCTTTTTCTTCTTCTTTTCAGATGGTGCCAACGCACCAATCCGAACCAAACATCGTCTTCAACCTTTAGACTTGAAAAAGAGAGGGAAGACCCTGTAAACTCAGCCACAATCATCCTCCTCCGCATCTCTCTCCGCACTTTCTCTCTTTACATTTCGCTTTCAGTCACTCACTCTCTCACTCTACCAACTCCAAACGCCACTCCTCTCTCTCTATCTTATGCCTTCATTGGGTACCTAATTCACCAGATCTGTGCCCGACCGCACCAGATCACGCCCCTAGAGAACCCTAAAGTTGCTCCGATGGAGGAAGCGCTGGAGCTCGCGCATGCCAAGGACACCAAGGAGCGCAAGGCGGGAGTGCAGCGCCCGCATCAGCTTCTGGAAGCGTCCAGAAAGAGCCTGAGTTCGTCGGAGGTGACGTCGCTCGTCGACTACTGCTTGGATCTTCTCAAGGACAACAACTTCGAAGTCTCCCAGGGCGCTTTGCAGGCACTGGCCTCCGCCGCCGTGCTCTCCGGCGACCACCTCAAGCTCCATTTCAATGAGACTTTTCAATTATCGAGGAACTTTCCAAAATATCGCGATAGTTTTGGAAATATCACGATATTATCGATAATATCGCGATATTTTGACGAAAACTCGTTGGATACCTATTAAAATATCGGTATCGTGAAAAACCGATAATATCGTCGATATTATCGGCATTTTGCTCCTTGGTCTTGACCCCAACTTTTTTGTCCACAATCAATCATTTTGTGAAAAATCTTCATAAACTAAGGATAAAATGACAAAAATACCCTCAACTTTTGTCAAATTATATTGGCTTATTGTTTATTATATTTAGGGTAATTTTGTCATTTTGATCCTTATTTAACATAATTTTTTTATTGAATGACCAAAATGATTGATGGTGGACAACCACTTCTATTGATTTCAAATCTCAGGGACCAAAGTGAAGAGTTAAGCAAATATCAGGACCATTTTGACTAAAAAGCCATCGAAGTTTATTTCTACTTTTTTTTTCTTTCCCTTTTTTTCCAGAAGAAAATGGAAAACGTTAGCCCATTTAACGTCAGTGACAAGCTCAATATATCAATTTTGTCGTTTAGCCATATTACAAAGCAGAAAACTGAATGCCACGTGACAATGATCCGGACCCACATAAAAAATCATCCATAAAGCAAGCTCAGAGTGTGCTTTTTGTTTGCTATTGGGTGGGAGTCTGAACTAAAGGCCTCTTGTGACATTGTGAACGAAAGAAAAATATTGCTAGATGAATAGTTAGTTGGTCTCGAATGGGTTTTAAAACTTGAATTGTGAAGCATTTAATGACGACGATGTATGCAAGAACTTGATTGAATGTAACCGGATGCTGCCATACGGATGGCTTCATTACAATTTACACATTCATACGCTGTTAAAACTACAACTATAACTTAAATGTTGCTGATGGGAGCTATTTACATCTTTCTGGACATCTGCAATCTTCACCTCTGAAGTATCAATCAGCTCGCTGAATTTGCTGAACTGGTTCGAACAGCTTCATTATCTTGCACTTAGGGCTGGTTTGGTATTGCTGTGCTTTGAAAAAAAACTACTGTAAGAATAAACGACTGTGCTGTGAGAATAAGCGGCTGTGAAATAAATCAGCAGAGCGTTTGATAAACTTTTTTGTAAAAATGCTTTTGAAAAAAAAAAAAAGCAGTCTGATAGTGGGTCTTTTCATTAAAGGAGCACTGTAGTTCTGTGTGCTTGAAAAAAAACCAGTTTTCCAAAGCTGCAAATAGCAGTTTCAGCTTTTTCCTTTGATTTCAGCTTATTCTCACAGCAGCTTAGTATCAAAAACCATTCCTTTGTGCCGACTCATTCATTCACTCAGCAATAAGAAACTATACATCTCCTTTTCCGACATAACCTATCTTCAACTCTGAAGTAACAATCAGCTTGCGGACTAACTACTAAACTGATCAACAGTCTCATTTTCGTTATCGTCATCCACATTGCCACAATCATATACTTCAAGATATGCCTCCTCCCCTTCCTCCTGGTTCAAGAAAATAGGGAAGCATCTCGGTTATCGGAAACCAAAAGTGCCACTTTGACAAAAGCGGCACGTTGTACTAACTGAGAGTGAGATAAATGGGTCAGTTACCTCGTCACTATCATCACTGGGGATAGAATAATCATCTACTGTTGAAGGCAAGGTTCTTCCACCATCGACCATTTCCCCCTTTCCCGTTTCCTTCTGAAATTAACACCAGAAGAATATATATATTATGGAAACGCAAACTACATCACCTTCGTCAAAGCTACTACAATGCAAAGGATATCATACTAGTTCGGACTTCAAGAGCTTAACTCTCTCCAGTAAGTCTGAGATATGATGCTTCAATGCCTGGGAAAGATGGGAAATATATTAGAACTGATATATAGCCATCATTTTTGAAGAATAACAAACACGATTGGTTTATAAGTTACCTCGCGTCTCTGTAGTTCAATTGACCGAGCCAATGCCTGTCTTCTTGTCAATAAATTCCTAGGCCTCAATGGAAGAGGGCATTGATAGTTCTTCCCGCGATAAACAATGACTGCATAACCTTTGGTAGTTTTATCTAGAGACACTAGCACCCCTCCACTCTCCGCTTCCAAAGAAATTGCAATATGCTTGACTTGCTCAAAACTTTTTCCCCTAACGATTATCTTCACCAACTCTCTATGCTTCCAGTGCAAGTGCATATTCTCTATGGTACCAGAGTAAACCTCTCGCCTCCCTGAAATATAAATCACTCAAGCATTTGATTCTCCCCAAAAAGTTGATTTAATCCAAAGAGGTAGTAGTTCTTACCTAGAAGCAGAAAGGGTTTCATACAGAGACCAATCTTACGAAACAAGAACCTATCCTCATCGGTTAAGGTTTCCAAATCATCTGGGAGATCTGATGGTTCCAAACTTTCCTGCACTCTTGCTAAAGCCTTCTCAGCCTTTCTGAGCTTTCCTTTTGCCTAGAATCATCCAGGGTTAGAAATAAGTCGCAATATTGAAATTCCTAAATGACACTTGTTCTGGCATCCTAGACTTGTGGGGTACATAAAATACTTGACATAATGCATTTTGGACGTACAAGAGCCAACTTCTTCTCGAGGTGTCTGACTAAAGATGCATGTCTAGCCAAAGTTGAATCTCTTGTCATTTTTTCAACTTTATCAATAGTCAGTTGGTTTCTCCAGCGAGTGGTTGCTGCCAAGGTTTCAGCAAGGGTTCCAGCAACCAATTGGCCTTTAGAAGCTTCAGGTTTTGACTCAACAAAGTCTGAGGCCATCTGTCGTGCTTGTTCTTCCTCATCTTGTTGGAGATCTCTTAATTTTCTCCTCTCTTTTAAAACCCCAGTGACAACAGGCGGCAAGTAGTCATTACCCCTGTAAAAGACGATGAAATCTTTGTTTCTAGAGAGAAGTGTACCCCCTGTCAACCTCTACATATATAACATGCAACACTCGTCAGAAATAGAAAGGATAAAAAGATGTGGCATGCAATGGTCACTATGTCTCACCTTTAGTTCTTCCGCCATCCTCTCATTACAAGTATTCTGTACTCCACGTTTGATGGCTATCTTTGCAATAGCACTCTTCTCCCAAAGCTTCACCATTGCATTAGCCAGACCTTGTAATTCTCTATTCCTTCCTATAACAAATAATCATACACGAAAAATATGAAGAAAAAAGATTTGGTTATCTAATACAATCATAAGCAATAAGTGTTACATACCTAAAGCAAAGTGCGGAGGTACAGTTCTAGCAAGCCTACGGAATTTTGTCATGTCCTTGTTTCTTAGACCAGGTCTTACCCCATAAGGGAGAAGTCTGAAAGGAGTTTTATATCCGGGAATCATGGGAGGAAGCAAGTCAGCATCAACAGGCAAAGGCTCACGGCCTATCCAATCCTTAAATCGTGGACCCAACTCATCTAATAAATGGTTTAGGACACTCAAGTCCATGAGTTCACGTTGAGATAAATCCTTCAAATACTCTGCAGACTCAAGACTTGGAAAATCTGTAGTCCTAGACACATCCTTCATTCCTACTTTGTGCATCCCATCCCTTGTAGCATCTTCTGTGTGGTGGAGCATAAGTGAATTACTCTGACTCTGTTTAGCATATGATTGTACACAAGGAATGTTATACGTCATTCCCCTGTAAAGCACTACCGAACTGCCTGATCTCCATATAATCAAACCTCCGGTTTTACTCTGGCAGAGAACAAATGATCAACTAAATAAGGTGCTAGCGGCAACCAATTCTTGCAAAAACTTAACAATATAAAAAGAGAGCAGATGCCTGCTATGATCAACATGATACATGAATCAATCTCCAATTTAAAATAGCTGAGCAGAAATTAATCATCAAACAGCTAAAGAATGATTCAATAATTCCCTAGATATATAGGAAAGGGATAACAAAGAAAGTAGAGGATGTACCAACACCAACCTCTAATATCTCATGGGTCCTTTTCATGTTAAGGGAAAATGGCTCTTCAAACTTCAACTTGACCACTTCATCGACCTTCCACTTCTCATGTATAGTATCCACCAATGCCTGTGTGATGCCAGAAACTCCGACTTTTATCCTCTCCAACATCCTCAAAGAAACATTTCTCAGCCTCTTCAACTCGTGATCCGGAAGCATTTGCTCCGCCAAATCTGTGTTGCTCCTCCTTTTCCTTGCCTTATCACCTTCCTCAGAACCCAACTCACTTTCTCTCTCCCAAGGCAACCGGATAGAATCACAAGAACCACTATGAGTATGCACAAAATTTTCAACCCTTTCATTATTAGCACCATCTCCAGATATAGTTTCATCGAAATAAACGCCATTTAAGCCTTTTGAAATCATTTTATCCTCTTTTTTCGAAAACCCAATTGAAGTTCCATCATTTTCCCCAACACTTTTACTCTCCAGCTTCCTTTTACTATCAAATCGTTGCTCAAAGCTCTTCTCTTTTTCAATCTTTTCATCGTTTCCACCATCCACAGATAGAGTTTCATTGAAAGAAATTCCATTTGAGCCTTTTGAAATCATTTTCTCCTCTTCTTTTGAAATCCCATTTGAAATTCCACCATTTGCCCCAACACTTTCTCTCCCCAGTTTCCTATTACTATCAAACTGTTGCTCAAGTCTCTTCTCTTTTTCAACACTACCACTTGTAGTATCAATCTCAGAGTGCCTAACAAACCCACCTAGATTTTTCCCTTGTGCAACACTGTGTTGTGAGGTTGCAGGCTCGTAATCCACCTGGGGCTTAATGGGTTTGCTTCCATGAGACCAAGGAGCATAAACTACACGGTTTGGCAAAGAAACACTCACTGTCTGTTTCACTGGTTCAGACGCAGAAACTCCAGAAGATTTCTGACCTTCCTCTTCCTCTTCCTCCTCCTCCTCCTCTTCTTCTTCTTCCAGTTCTACATTTTGTTTTTGCCATGGAAAATTTTCTCTTGGGGAATTGACTTTCATAGACCATTTGTCCTGTATTTGCTCAAAGAAGCTTGGCTTGGGCTTCCTCTTCTTCTTTGTGGGCTCAAAAGCTACTTTGATTCTTTGGGGTTGCTCCTGGGTGTCAATTTGGCCAGTCTTACACGAAACTCTGAACCTGAGAGTTCTGCAACTTTTGGAATAATGGGTTTGAATTGTTTGATACGGTTGAAGAAGAAAGTAGCTAGATTGAGATGCATGGAAACTGCAAGCACAGGAACTAGTAGTAGACGGATTCACTGAGACCAGCGGCAGCGCCATGGTACTGGATGTCCCAATATCTTTAGTGTTCTAGCTACATATTATGGAAGGCATAACATGATAGTTTCCTGACAATGCAACTAGTCTGTATAACTTGATAAGATAACCCCAGGATAGCTAAGCTAGGTGACAAACCAAATTGCAGCAATCGCCTAAAGCCAAACACGATGCATTTTCCTTCTTAACTGCTGCTACTGACAATAGGAAGGTTGTAAACAACAAAGGCAAAGAATTACAAAACAGACAAAGAAAAACCGGAATGTAAATAAACCCGAATCCAAAAGCAACAAAGATAGCTATTTGGAAGCAAACCCATCACTGCCATCCTATATTCTACTGAGATATGTTTCCTTCTCTAAGGCAATTCCACAAACAGAAAGTAGACATAAAACACTTGAACTTCTGTTGCTATATAATTTGCACATGAATAAAATAAAAATTGTAACTACTGAATCAAGCAGTAAAAACCCATATAATTTCTCTATCTAATTCGACCCAATAAAACGTAATCAATTGGGAAATCCAATTGGCATACAAATTTGCCACTACAAGCAAAACTGAATTAAAGAAAGAAAAAAAAAATGTAAGAAAATGATCAAATCTAACACAGAAAAAAAAAAACTGAATTAAATTAAATTAAATTGTGATAAAGCAGATTAAATAAGTTTGGAAGAGAGGATGGAGAGAGAAGGAGGAGATAAGAGAGGAGTACCTCAGGCTCAGGGCGGGAGAGGAGAAGTGTCTGCCAGTGAGAAATGAGTGAAGCTGAAAGTTGAAACTCTGTTTGTAGATAGCGGGGGGGTCGATAGGGCTCCGGATCTGCTGTCCCGAAAGTGTTCTCCCTCGTGTCTTCTTCTTTATTTGTTTAACACGTGTACTACCACTTAACTATAACATAACTCTGTTAACTTTTAATAAGTTAAAAAAATAAATAATTAAAACTAAATTAAAACCAAGGCTAGAGTCCACTCGGTTCTTGCAAAACACAAAACAATTCCCCAGTTTCCAGTCACTGCCGATGCCCACTCCCACCCCCTCCCTTAATATGTTGGTTTTTGAGATGGACATTGACGGATCTGGGGTGGGATCTGGGCGCACCTGGGTTTGAAGAAAAAAAATTGAAGACGTCATCTGCTTACAGGCGGGTTCACCATTGATGGACAAGAAGAATCCATATGCGATGGATTTTGTCACTGGCCATGGAAATGGTGGCTCGAAGCTCTATGAAGAAAGACCCAGACTGGCGTTGAAATCAAGCAGAGACACCACCTCACCCACCTCTGACAAAGCGGCGATGCTTTTCTTTTCGGCTTCTTCGACTTCCTAGAAAGAGAATTTTCAGTTTGTTTCTAGGGAAAATTGGGATGGAAATTTGGAATTTGATCTTTCATTATGATTTGGGGTCAATTGTTTTGTGTTTTGCAAGAACTGAGGGGACTCTACCCCTGGTTTTAATTTACTTTTTATTATTATTTTTTTAACTCATTAAAAGTTAATAGTGTTATGTTATAGTTAAGTGGGGGTACACTTGTCAAACAAATAAAGAAGGAGATATGAAGGAGACACCACTTTCGGGACATCAAATCCGAAGCCGGGTCGATAGTGTCAATAAAGTGGGTACTTTCAGTGTGGTATTTTTGACTTTTTACTCGGCGCCGAGTGCTAAACGGGTCGGCAAATGAGTTTGGGTTGGGCTGATCCCATTCTATCCAAACTTTTGGTGGAAAACTAATGAAAACACCCAAAAAAGTTTCCTTTTAATCATCAGGACAAAACAATTTGATAATACCCAAATTGGACATGGGAAAGAAGACAAGGGAGACAAACCATTTCAGAAAGATCACATGCATGTTCAAAACAAAAGCAAAAAATGGGTTTCATGAGACAAGCCATGCAACAAGTTGACATGCATTTATCAAGACAAAGCAAAAGGAAACAAGCAAGTTCACATGCATTCATCAAAACAAGGCAAAAGAAGACAAATAAGTCAGACCACGTTTCAGAAACAATGCTGACAATTTCAGCAATAGTAGAAGTAAAGTGACTAATGACTAGTACCAAGGATCCGTCTACACCATTCATTTGTAAAGAATTTTAATTTTTTTTATATATCATAGTATTCTCACTTAGTGTATATAAGAGGAGTTCCATTCATTGTAAACACACCAGATACACACCGTATTTCAATCTTCATACACTCAAGCATCTGAAACTTTCCTAGCATCATTCATAAACACTTCTTTGTAAACACTTCTATTTGTAAACATTCTATATATCAATAAAAGTTCAAGTGTACATATTCAAACAATCTCCAAGTCTTAACTAAGTTTTCTTTTCTTTTCTTTCTTTAGTGTATTTGTTTAAATAGACTTGTAAACACGGAAATTCCTGCGATGAACGAGACAAGAAACACGTGTACAAAATAATATTTGTATTGATGATTTAGGGGTTACAATCTCTTCTACAAATTTAGCCTCTGATTCTATCTTTGCAATGGGTGGATTTGATGTTGTTGGTCCAAAGGGCCGTCGGGGCTTGATCTTGGGATAAACAGTTGTGCAGATTTGTTGACGTCGTGGATCCAAAGGGCCGTCGGGGCTTGATTTAGGGATGAACGAATGATGAACGATGGACACTTTCTTCAAGGGCCGTCGGGGCTTGATCTTGAATCAGCGGAAGTTCTTCAAGGGCCGTTGGGGCTTGATTTTGAATGAGGATTTGACGAATAACGAAGAGAGCTCTCTTGATCCTTCGGGATTTGCTTGGGAGCTTTTGAGTTTCAAAGCTTCAAGGTTGTGATATGAGGTGAATTGGTTATGAATTGGTCTCCCAAAATGAATGCCTTGGCCTCCTATTTATAGAATTCCAAAACTTGATTTTTTTGGATTTAAATAATTAGATGAAATAAATCATTTCTGCCAGGTGTTGACACGTGTCCTGTTTGATGACTTTTCCAATTTATTTTGATTTTTCGTTTAGTCACATGCTATGTGTAAAATTTATGTGACACATAAACATTGAAATTTTAATTATTGATCAACATTTATTTTACCGAAATTTTGATGTCTACAAATGCCCCCACTTCAAGACGCGTCGTATACATGTGCTTGTCACGTGTAGAAGATGCGTTTTGAAGTCCCTTACTGCGGATGCTGATCCAAGGGCCGTTGAGGCTTGATCTTGAACTGGGTTGGTGATTTCTTCAAGGGCCGTTGGGGCTTGATCTTGAACTTTGTTTGAAATTTTTTCAAAGGCCGTTGAGGCTTGATCTTGAAGGTTGAAATTGGACCACAAGGAGCTTCATGTGGTATATGATCTTTTGCTTTGGTAGTGGGTGAATCGGCACGTATTTTGTTGCGCTTATTGACTTTCCACAGCTTTGATCTTGAACTGGTTCGGAGGATTTTCTGGTTTCCTCCAATTGTTGACTTTCCACAGGCTTATTCTTGAACTGGGCTGGAGGATTTTCTGGTTTCCTCCAATTGTTGACTTTCCACAGCTTATTCTTGAATTGAGTTGGAGGGTTTTCTGGTTTCCTCCAATGGACTTTCCACATACTTAATCTTAAGCTGGATTTGATTCAAAGGTGATAGACATTTGATCTTGAATCAGACTTGTAATTTCTTTAAAGGTTGTCAAGGCTTGATCTCGAACTTAAACATGACCACGAACAGTTTCAGGACATGCCTGCTTTGAAAGATCAAGGAAGTTCGCAGCATTTTCACATGAACCCTGAGCAGTTTGGTCAACGGTATGATCTTCAAGAGTGATGGGCGCTTCTTCCAGTTGGTGACTTAATCTTTAAGGATTTGATTCAAGGGTGGTAAATCGGCACGTGTAGCTCACAACGTCTAGCAGGTCGACCCAAGAATTTGAGGGTCGAAACAGGTCCACCAAACCCAGAGTGATTGCAACCCTAATGATATGAGATACTTTTGATTTTGAAGAAGTAACGGATGTATCGACTCGTGTTTTGTTGTGCTTGTCTCTACATGTTTCAATGTATCATTTTCCCTTGCCTTATCTGTTTTTCAGGCAGATGTGGTATTTTCTCTAAAAGCATAAGATGTTGAAACAATGGGTACTTTGATAGCAGTGCTAGGTAAGCAATCAGGGAAGGGTTCCAAACAGTTGTTTCCAGATCAGAAGTTTGATACCAAGTGCTGTCTGATTGCTTTCTTTCTCCTTGTCCCACAGGTAAAAACAAGGACAAATAAAAGAATAGGGAGAAAGCATGATATGAAATACTCTTGCTTTCGAAGAAGTGGTGGCGATTTGACAGCATTGCACAGCGAGGCTTTGTTCTTCGACGATGGTGCCGCCAATATGTTTGTTGAAACTTCTCGAGCTCTTGGATTCAACTCAGACTCCTTCTGCTGGGTTGGTTGATTGTGCAAGGAATGGGAGACTTGATCTTGAATGAAATCAGCACGTTGTCTCCATATGCTTCAAGGTATCATTTTCACTTGCCTTATCTGTTCTCCGGGCAAATATGGCATCTTCTTCGGAAGTACATCAGCAACTGAAGACGAGTACTCAAGAGCAAAGCCAGGTAAGCAACCAGGCAAAGGTTCCCGGTAGTCGGTTCCTTGCCCGGAGTTTGAGTGGAGGTTCCGACATATTGCTTTCTTTATCCTTGTCTTTGCAGGTAAGAACAAGGACAAAGGAAAGGACAGGGAGAAAGCATGATATGAGATACTCTTGCTTTCTACCCTGGTGATATGAGATACTTTTGCTTTGGTGTCATTTGTTTGCAGAGGTACTCCAGGAGAGAAAGAAAACTGGGTATTTTGAGAGGCTCTGCTGAGAGTGTACTCTCGGAAATGAGGAAGGGTTGGGCATTTTTTGAGGTCTGCCTTACTATGGACGGTGACGGTGGACAGTTATAGGAAGTTCTTTAATACATGTAGATGTACTATTCTTTCACTCGTGTTGGCAACCATTGAGTGATTGATCAGTATGGCTCCACGCGCTTTCTTCTTCATTAGAAATCTTCGACAAATTGCCCGTAATTTCCGCAAAGCTAAGTGTGCATGTGACAGGTGCTGACGAGGCTAAAAAAGACTGGCGCCTCTTCGATATCTGAGATCGGCGCTTCGACAAATTATCCATGATTTTCTCAAAGCTGAGTGTGCATGTGATAGATGCTGACGAGGCTGAAAAAAAAGACTGGCGTCGTCTTAACTTGAATGTCGGGGAAGATAATGACATATCTTCTTCAAACAACATTTGGCAGTTGTCCTTCGTATCTCCCAATGGTACTCTTACAGTTGGGGATTTTATGATGATAAACGATACAACCGCTTCGGTGGTGGCTAGAAATCTTCTTACTCCTAGAGACACTAGGATACTTTCCAGGCGGTCCGACGAGCTGGCTGTTCAGGACTCTCTGGCCTACAGCGTCCGATGTGCAGGTTCAGTTTCAAACATGGGCCAACGCCTTCTTGCTCGATCTCGTCAGGTTGAGTCGTTGATGGCTGAGGTGGCCAGTCTTCGGCAAGAGGTCAGGGTGCTTAGGCACGAGAATAAAGAGTTGCACATGCTCACAACTAATTACTCAACAAGCATGAAGAGGAAACTTGACCAACTGCAGGAGTTCGAAGTTCGAATTCAGAGTGATCATCAGAGGTTTGTGACGTTACTCCAGCGGCAACTTCTGCCTTCGTCCTCTGGCGCTTCACCAAGTGTTGAAGCTCCGGATAATCAAATTTCTGGTGCTTCGTCTTTCTGGAGCTCCGCCGAGTGATGAGGCGCCACCTGATCATCCTTGAAGATCCCTTCCTGTAAATTTGATTTGACTTTTTTTTTAATTTTTTTTTTACGCATTTGTAATTTCCTAGAGATATCAATGGACATGCTTTATTTTATTCAGTATGTTGTGCTAAAACATATATCTGACTAAGATGTGTTACTCCTTTTTATTTTATTTTATTTTATTTTATTTTATTTAGATGGTACCTGATGCGCACTATTCTTTTACTCCCTATTTTTAGACGGAAATTCGTCGTCTTCCCCCTGCTTTCTTCCTTTCAATTATTCTGTCTCAACCACCTATTTCCTTTTTCATACTTGCTAATAGTAGCATACACCATGACCTGTCTTTCTTGTTTTTTTTTTTTTTTTTTATCATTTCCTTTTGGATGATGCCTGTCAATCACTTCTTTTCTTTGCTTTCGGTGGTTGGTCACCATTTGAAAACCTTTTTTTTTTCTTTATATATGGTGCTTTGTAGGGATGGAACTCGACGGACGGTGAGTTGCAGTCGAGGCTTCATGACCGGCTAGTCGTTTGACGGCGGTTTATTGAAGTTCTTCGTTGTTGTTTGTCATGGACGGAGAGAAGGCCTTTGGGTGTGAGTTGACAAACTTTGGTTTTGTCAATCTTATTCAAAGGCAGCAGCTATGGCGGAGGTGCAGAAACAGCTGGAGCTTGAGGTAGAATGCAAGGCATTGAGCTTCACTACCGGCTAGTCGTTTGATGGCGGTTTATTGAAGTTCTTTGCTATCATGGTGGTCATAATGACGAGCTCAAGGGAAGCCAGGCGCTGCGGTGGAAGGAATCGATGCCGAGAGCGCAGCCCAACTTGCTCCGGGTGTGCGCACCATGTGCAGCA